GCCACTTCCTTTCCTACTTTTACTTGGCCCAAACTTGTTCTGCAGAGCCTGTTTCTTTTTCTACATTTAATAAAACTTTTTTACCATTTGCACTCACCTTGACCAATTCTTTGCTCAGGACAGAAAGAACCCAGAAATTACCCCCTCCAAAAGAGACTGCAGCACCCCACAACCCTGTAACAATACTACTTACCTTTATCACTCTATCGATATTTGCACTGATGGCACAAAAGCAATAACAGAATTTCCACGTATTAATCATAGTCTACTATGGTCATTGTATATTTATTTCTCCATTCTCCATACTTACAGTTAAAATAAATCTCTTTCATTTAAGAATATCTTTGATGAGCCAGGAATGGTGGTGCATGGCTATAATTCCAGCCCTCAGAAGGCTGACGCAGGAGGATCGCTGTGATTTCAAGGCCAGTTTGAGCTACACAGTGAGTTCAAGACCAGCCCAAACTACATAGTCATCAATGGATTAATCCTTTGGTGAGGTCAGCATCCTCAATACACAAGTCTTTATGGGACCTTTCATATTTAAAGCATAATATGAGGTTTTAAAAACACGAATGTGACTGGACATGATGGAGAATGTCTTTAATCCCAGCACCTGGGTGGCTGAGGCAATAGAATAGCTACTGGTTGGAGGCCAGCCTGAGCTACATAGCAAAACTCTGCTTCAACAAAACAAAACAAAATAGCTTGGAATGGTGGCTCACACCTGTAATTCCAGCACTCTAGGAGGTTGAGGCAGAAGGATCAGAAGGTGAAGCCTAGTTTTGGCATTTTAGTGACTTAGCAATTTTACAAAAGGGCTGGGGATTTAGCTCAGTGAGAAGGCCCTAGGTTTAATCTCCAGAACTGTAAAAACAAACAAACACCAATGCTACTTAAGGTTAATCAGAATCTCTGGGCTTGGAATTTGGGCATAAATATGTATAGTGCATACATTTTAAAACTCTCCAGTTGATAGTAATGTACATTCAAAGTTGAAAACTATTGCCCTATGCCAGTGGTGGTGAATTTATGGCACTGGTGCCACTGTGGATACACAGCCCTCTCTGTAGGCACATGAGCCGAGTTGGCCCTGCCAAGGTTCAACAAATTATCAGCATGCAAACAACAGCAAAGATCACATTGACTGTGCAAAAGCACGCCACATGCAAACTTTTATCTTTCAGTAAAAAGCTGTTGGTATCACGGAAAGCTCTGTTACTGTGTTTTTCTATTAAGACAAAAGACGTTAATGTATGAGTTGTTTTTTCTAAACTAAAACCTCAGAATTCAGGTTTAATTCCAGGGTTGGCACTTTGTGATAAATAAGTGGATTTGAGGTTGCAGTTTGGGTACTCAGTCTCTAAAGGGTTTGCCATCACTGCCCTATCGTAATGTTTTCTAAACTTGCCCAATAACAAGAATCATTGGAGATAGTTATTAAATGTAGCAGTCGCAGGTTCAAATATCTTATGAACCAAATCTCCAGGGAAAAGGTCTGGAAAAGCTACATGTTCAATCAGCATCTCAGGTGATTCTTAAAATGGGACAACTTTTGGAACCATTGCACAGTCCTCCCCAAATTTAATAGCTGGCCAGCTAAGGGGCTAATTACTAAAATGCATTATTCAACTTAATTTTCACCACAAAAGGTCTGAGTAGTGGGCCAGGGATTTAGTTCAGTGGCAGCACGCATGCCTCACAAGTGCAAGGTCCTGAGTTCGGGTTTGAGTACTATATAAATATATCTTAAAACTTTCACTGGTCTGCTACTTTCAACACTAGATTTTGTTGCAGAAATCGCCATAAATCTTGAATCAAGATAGAATTGTGAATTGTGTGACAAAGTAATATGTGTGTGTGTGTGCGCTCTCCTGGGATGGAACCTAGAGCTTTGCATATACTAAGTAAGCACATTACCACTAAGCTACACCCCAGCTCCTTTTTAAAAGTTCATTTTAAAGCCGAGCATGGTGATGCAAACCTGTAATCCCAGCATTCGGGTGGCCGAGACAGGAGGAACTCCATGAGTTCAAGGCCAGCCTGGGCTACATAGTGAGTTCAAGGCCAGCCCGACTACATAGCAATATCCTGTCTCAAAATTGTCTTGCAGTATAGTCAGCCTGGCCTTGACTTTATGGTCCTCCTGCCATAGCCTCCCGAGTGAGTAGTAGAGATTACAGGTGTGGGCCACTGAGTCTGGCAACAAGGAACTCTTGTGTGGAAAAACTAGTCCCTTTTCTTATGGTGCTCAAGTTTCATAGTTTTGTGGAGACCTTTTGAAAACTTGACTTGGATGAATGAGTTCTGCACTTGACTCCTTAATTGAAGGTCAGAGGGACAAATGTTAGAGAATCAGCAAAAACCTGTTCTTGGTTTAATTTTTTTGTACTTATGATAAAAGCCATGTAAATACAACATCATTTTCTTATGAATGGTAAGGAAGCAAAGAGATATACAAGAAGAGGTTCATGGATTACCTTGGGATGCAAAAGGAAATATCAGTGTGTGGGAATCACAGTGGAAAAGTAAAACTTGCCTGAAGAGACTACACTCCAAAATTCGAAATTTTTCCTCTTGTGATAAAATGGGAAGAAGAAGGGACTATCTGTATTAAATACTAATTTCCTGTCTACTGCACCATCCTTTTGCCTGGTTAGAGACATATAGGACCCACCAGAGAAACCAGAGAATGAAGCCTTTTAAACCTAGGAGTTGAATCTTCGTAGTATTTTTCCAAGTATAGAAATTGAACCCAGGACCTTTACACTGAGATACAGCCCCAGCTCTTTTAAAATTTATTTGATTTTAAGACAAAGTCTCACTAAATTGCTAAGTTGGCCCAGACTGGTCCTGGAATTGTGATCGGATTCTCATGCCTCAGCCTCCTAGAGTGCTGGGATGACAGGTGTGTAACACCACACCTGGCTCGAACCTTAGTAGTTTTTGTCTATTAAATGCCTTATGCTTGGCTCATGATAAATGCTCAATAACTGCATGCTGATTTTGATATAATGTTTTGTAATAAAAATGTAATACCACATGGACCTACCTTCATTTGAAGAATAGGTTTCCATTTATATATAGTTTTGGAAGAAAAATAAAATTTGTAAATATAAAAAAACCAAAAAATGCTCAATAAGTATTTTCTGAATTAAATACAATAGTGGTCAAGTATAGATTTCAATGTTAAAATGCTACAAAATAAAAATTCTATACAGAACAGTTCTTTAATATAACTTATGTTTACCCAGGCGTGGTGGCACACATCTTTTTATTTTCAACAAGGCTCATGTTGAACATTTGCTAAAACTTATAATAAAAATTTAATTTTACCAGAAGAAATCAACCTACTATTGAAAACAATGTTTTTGGGCTGGGGATTTAGCTCAGTGGTACCACGGCACAAGAACCTGATTTTGATCCCTGTACAATAAATAAATAAATAAATAAGAAAAGAAAAGAAAAGAAGACAATGTTTCAACAAGGCTCATGTTGAACATTTGCTAAAACTTATAATAAAAATTTAATTTTACCAGAAGAAATCAACCTACTATTGAAAACAATGTTTTTGGGCTGGGGATTTAGCTCAGTGGTACCACGGCACAAGAACCTGATTTTGATCCCTGTACAATAAATAAATAAATAAATAAGAAAAGAAAAGAAAAGAAGACAATGTTTCCATGAAGGGGTTTAGAGGAGGAGCCTTTTTTTCGGTTCTGAGAAATAAATTCAGGCATGCTCTATCAGTAAGCTGCATCCCCAGCCTCCTTGTTCTTTTACTATTTCATTTTAAGATAAGATCTCACTAAGTTGCCCAGGCTGGAAACTTGTGATTCTCCCATCTCAGCCTTCTGAGTAGCTAGAATTACAGGCATGTGCCGTCATGTCTGACATACTTTTTTTCTTTGTCATTTTCCATCATATTTTTAAAAACTAGAAGCAAGTAATTCATGGAAATTATTTTAAAATGCAAGTTTAAATTTTGCCAGGCTCGTGTATGTGTGTGTGTGAGTGTGTGTGTGTGTGTGTGTGCTGGGATCAAAACCATGGCGTCACACATATTAAGCACTGCTACATTCCCAGCCCCTCGCCACCAGTGTAAATATTGTGTTGTGTAAGTGTCCAAGTAGAGACCTTGAAGGGATTCTGGTGACTGCTGTCTCTCCTTCTTCCTTGGCCCCAACTCTTGCAACTTCACTCTTCTCTAGTCCTCTTCAATAGTATCTATAAATGGCAGTTGTCAGAAGGCCCACAGTTCTGTACTTCTTTTATGAAGAGGTAGAATCTGAAATTAAACGAATTTTAAAAATTTAAAAAAGGAAATAGAATCAGGGAGTGAGGTATAGTGCAGTGGTGCAGTGCATGCTTAGTATCCTTGAGGTCTTTGGTTTGATCCCGAACACTCTCTCTCTCTCTCTCTCTTTCTCTCTCTCTCTCTCTCTCTCTCTCTCTCTCTCTCTCTCTCTCTCTCTCTCTCACACACACACACACACACACACACACACACACACAAGAAGTAGAATAGGTGGCTATGAGATTTGCTTTAATGAGATGTTAGCAACTGTGACAGAAGCAGAAATTTGAAAAACCCTCATTGGGACCTATGTCCTTGGTGCTCTTGTATCTTTTCTAACCTGTTGGGAAGTGGCTCATTTTCCCCCATAACGCTTATCAAGTACAAGGCACCTGAATGAAGTCACCTGAGGCTCAGCAGCCCTAATCTAACTCTGCAACTGACCAGAATGACCACAGACAAACAAGAAATCCTAGATGAGTGAGATCAGCCCAGTATGGCCTGGATACAGAGTTTTTGGAGTAGTTTGTTATGCAGCAATTGCTAACTGATACACTCTGCAAATGTGGAACTCTGTTCTGATCAAATGGTTTTGTTCAGTTTTCACAAAACACCATTGCTCCTATATTTTTCTCTTTACTCATTATCAGTCCTTATCTTATGTGTTTGTTTTGTTGAGACAGGGTTTTGCTGTGTGTTCTAGGCTGGTCTTGGAGTCATTATGTAGTCACGGCTGGCCTGGAACTGGAGATAATCTTCTTGCATCTGCCTCCCCAGTGCTGAGATTACAGGCATTAGTCACCATGCCCGGCTTCCTATCCTTCTTTTGAAGGTATCAATTCTTCTACCTTTCTGTGGATAAGTGCGTTCTTTCCTAAACTCTTGAAATATGCTTTGTATCTCTTAAGCTTGTCAATGCTAGTTTTAAAATTATATTGGAAATATTTCCATTGTTTAGTATAACAGCCATCAACAAAAGTCCAAAGTAATGTAAAAGAAACATATTATTGATGATTTTTAATTCTTTCCTATTTTTTTACTGTTTAACTCACTTTCTATACTTCTTTGATCCTTGCATGATAATTTTAACAAGTGTAATTTATTTTATGTACAGTATATGTGTAATTTCTGCAAATAATGGTTGATTCTGTTAGGTAGAAACTCATTATTTTTCTCTCAAAATGCTTTGTAAAAGATCTTATATGTAATACACAGACTGAATTATACGTGCTTTGGCTTTGGAGGCAGAAAAACCTGTGTCCAAATCCCTGGTACCCACTTACTTTGTGACCTTCAGCAAAGTTGTTAATTTCTCAGAAAGCCCAACTTTACTTTTTAAAATAATTATACATACATTTTAAGGATTAAATTACATAAATCAAACCTTTAGGCTGTACTACATATATAACAGGCACTCTATAAATCAAGATTATTGTCCTGAATAAAGCCTTAAGTTAAGAGGCAGAAAACAGGTGCCTTAAAGCCTTGCAATAGCTAGGCATGGTGGTAACCACCTGAAATCCTAGCACTCTGGGAGGCTGAGGAAGGAGGATGTTAAGTTCGAGCCCAAACTGGGCAGCTGAGCCAGCCACTCAGAGAGACGACCCTGCTTCAAAAAAAAAAAAAAAGTAGTGGAGATGTAGCTCAGTGTGGAGACTTTGGGTTCAATCCCCAGGACCAGGGGGAAAAAAAACAAAACAAAAAACCGAAGAACAAAAATACTTCCACTGCTAGCACCACAACAAAAAGGAAGGTGGCAACAGAATGAATTCTTAGCTGGATTAACCTCATTAATCAAAGCATGGTCCTCCACAGGTGAGTGATATTTCATACACTGGGAGCTTCGAGATGTATACAATGTCAGGCTCCCTTCCAGATCTGCTAATCTGGGCTTTAACAGCACTCCCAGGGAATTTATATGCATTTCAGTGTTGGAGAAGCACTACCTTAAAAGACCATTATTTTAGCATTTCTTTCTAAAATTATAATTATTAACATATGTTAAGGCCTGGGAATGTAGCTCAGTGGCGCCATGCCTGCCTGGCAAGCACAAGGTCCCGCCAGTACCGAAAAAACAAAAACACCCATATATTAATTGTACAAATTAATGGGTTTCACTGTGACATTTCCAAGCCTACATTCATACATCATGTTTTGATCATGTCCACCCTCCCTTCTTCGTCCCTTCATCTCATTCCTTTCTTCTGGTAGTCTTTCTATTTCAGGTCACATTTTTAAAAAAAATTTTGTACCAGGAATTGAACTCGGGACCTTTTGCCTGCCAGGCAGGCAATGTGACGCTGAGCTACCTCCCCAGCCCAGGTCACATTTTTTAAATTAAAAACATTTGTTTTCTATTTTCTATTTTTGTTAAAGACCATTTCCGATGAATATATTTAAGGTGTCCAACTTGATATTTTGATATACTTAGCTTGACATACATAAACATAGTGAGGCGATCACTACAATCACTATCCCAGACAGTTATCTTTTTCTTTTCTGTTTTTTGTTTGTGATAAGAGTACATAAAATCTAAAAGATCTTAAAAACAGAGGTCTGTAAGTTTATTTGACATGATATGTGCACAGTTAAGTACTTCTGTCTATTGATTGGATTTGGATTCTTATCTAATCTCATTACTTGATGGGAATTTTTGATAATAAGCCTTCAAAAGTAATGTTACATCATCATACACATCATAGTAATTTCTCCAAGGGAGTTGATAGAAGGGATTTCTTTCAAGCCAGACATAATTCAGTACCAGGGCAGTTGAGGCAAGAGGATTGCCAAATTCAAGGTCAGCCTGGGCTACGTATGAGATCCTGTGACAAGAAACTGAAAGAAATGTATTTCTTCTAAAATCTTTAAGACAAATTAATTGATTTCTACTAAATGTGATGGTAGAGGGACTTGTAGATTTAAATGTGTCTTGGAAATAATTCATTTTGGAAGGTGTTTTTATTTTATTAGCCTAACGTACCTTTCTTTTCATCTCAGTGGTTTAAAGATTCATAGTTGTTTTGTTGTAAATACGGTAACTCTAAATAGAAAGAAGTTGCTTTTAAAAAGTGAGCTCTTGACTGTGTAATTAAATATATACATTTCCTTGAGCTTTACTCAAAGAGGGACTTGTCAGAAGGAAGGTTTAATGCGGCCATTTGGAGACAGAGATGGAGAATTTTTTTCCTCAGAAGCCTCCACCAAAGAGAGGAAATATGGAGTTTGACTGCGGTATTTTCACTTCTCCATTGCTTTGTGAAATAATGTTATTTGGTTGTAAGTTCCAGTTTCTTTTTCACAGACCTCATGTGTCTCTCGCTACTTGTATTAATACAAGCCAGTCCTATGGCTTGATAAAAATAAAATCAAGGGGGGAAAATGAAGAAGTAGTCCAAAGAGAAGGTCAATTTTTAAAATATGGAAATTTCTCTGGGTGTAGAAATTCTTGTTTGGCTTCAGAATGTGTTGTTCTTCTTTAAGAAATTTACGCTAGGGCTGGGGGTCTAGTGGTAGGCTCCTTGCTTAGCATGCATGAGATCCTGTGTTCAATGAATTGCACTGGGGGAAAAAAGACTCAAATTGCACAATTGGCTGGAATTAGAATATACAAAGATTATGCAGGTTTAATATTTCTAGGGTCTTTTATTTCTGAGCCAGTGGGGGAAGAGCTGTTCAGTCAGCTTTCAGAAAGAGCCTGTACACTTCCGTCCTACTACTTGATGACAGAAACTAAAATTTTCATTAGATATCTGGATATAGAGCAACATCTATACTTCTTAGAAACTCTGTTCTCCAAAGCTGCAGTCCTACAGGTTGAAAGAGAGAGATGAATTGTGGGAGCCCACTATCATGTTTAGAGTTGAACTTTGACTCTATTCATTCTTCGTATTATAGTTCAGTTTGTACTTGAAAATGCAGAGGCAAACATGTTAAAGAGCATGGAATCCATGTCTTTTTTCAAAATACAGTTTTGACCTATTGCTTCAATGTATCCTTTTCATCATTTCATTTAATTCAGTCCCTTACAGAAGCAACAGCAAAAACAGATATCAACAGATTCAAGTTTCCCTCCTACCTAAAAGGCAGACCCCCCCAAAAAAAGGATAATGATGCACTTGGATTTAGGATAAAAATCATTGCATAATTGAAATTCTTGAGAGTCCACAGAGATTTGGCTGAGTCATGTCTAATGGTTTTAAAAGAAAAAAAATTATTAGAAGAACAAAGCAGAGTTCATGCAAATACTCAAATGTATGAACTTCAGAGGATAGGTAAATAAATGACATAAGCAAAGTGCAAATCCTCAATTGTTCATCCAAAGAACAGGACAATTTTCTCTCTAAAAACAATTTATGGTAGAGGAAGAAAGGGATTATCTTAGTTTAAGGAACAGATGTCTCTATGTCCCAAGATTTGAAAATCAGATCATAGGGGGAGGGGGAAGAGGTTAACAGAGAAAAACATAAAAACTAGGAAAGAGAGACAGAAGTTTGTCTAAATGGGCCTGAAAGAAGCAAGCACTTGTAGGAAAAGCTGTGTCAAGTGTTTCCAGGGGTTAATTGAGAGTTAACAATAGCAATTTGAGTTTTGGTGCAAGGGATATTTGCTACATCACTAAGCAGAGAGTATCAAATCAAAGGAAAACAATCAGAAACCAGAAACCAAAGTATTTCATGGGATTGCTAATTCCTTCAGCATCTAGATACTTGCCTTAATAGCTCTGATTGAGGCCAACTAATAGGTAATAGCCAACCAGGATGAGGTATTCTGTGGATTGTTCATGGCTTTAAAATGAAATATCTAGGATTAAATTCAAGTTGATGCTTTAATTTGTATTATATTTCATTTTAAATCATTTTTCAGCTGAAAGAATTTCAAAATGCTTCGGAAACTTTGCAAATGCAGGAATCATATTATTTGATGCTGAAATTAAAATCTCTCTGAGGTGGAAAATGGGAGTTATTCAAGAGCAAACAGTATACATTACAATCAATTATATCCCAAATAACAAAATCTCTAGTGCACAACAAACTATTACAGCTTCATAGGAATTCAGAATGTTGTACTTAATAAAGCAATTGTAATCTGTCATTGCATCCTCAAGATAAGCAGTACTGCCCTGGAGCTTACCTTATGGATTTCTTTGATATAAATTAAACCTACTGAAGTACAACTAAGAATTTTTAACTATCATATTAATTTTAATCTATGGGATATGTTGTATGTTCCTAAATTCTAATGTGTTCATATTAATTTTACAGAATGTCAATTAAAATCAATCGTCTGCACAGGAAGCACATTAAAGCCTCATATAGAATATTATAATTATATCTTTGGAAACAACAATTATAAAAATTACTAGATAAACTGTGAAAATGAATACAGGAAGAGACGATTGCATTTATAAATATGTGATTCACATTGCTATGAAAAAGTTTATTTTTATATTATTATGGATTGTTATTTGAACACTAGTACTTCTTTGTTTACTTTTCTTAGAGACAGAAATCAGGTTTGATTATAAATGACTCTGTTCTGTTTTGTTGAGTTGGAAGTCACAGTTGACTAGTCATTTGTAGAGATCAAGGGTAAGTTGAAATTAGAGAGAATTTCAAGGTGGTAACTTTAAGTAATAATAAGTAATGCCATAAGGATAAGTGAAGATGTGATTGTTGTGGCCAAAAGATTAAAGATTTAGCCTTATGTATGTGAAGTAGTCAAATGCCCATAAATGAAATTCTGGTGACCCTAAGACACCAACATCAGGTCTAGAGATACAGATAAACACGGCTTCTAAAGAAGATAATGGCAGGTGTGGCAATTGATGAGTTCAATAAGGGAAGGCACTGAAAAAGATAAATAAATGAAAAAGGAAATTGAATGATCAGGAATTTCAGTTCTAGAATATGGATGAAGCTAGGCATGGTGACACCTATAATCTCAGCACTTTTGTAGGCTGAGACAGGATGGTAAGTTCAAGCCCAGCCTGGACAATTTAGTGATTTAGTGAGACTTTGTCCCAAAAATAAATAAAAAATAAAAAGCTGGGGAAGCTCATTATGAAGGTCTTTGGTTCAATTTCCAGTATTCTCTCTTCAGTGGTTGATAGGAAACCAATGAAGGAGATTAGAAAGTGGGGAAGTAGAATAACTAACAGTGTGCAAAGACACAAAATCAACAGGGTAGTGGTGATGAGGCCTTCTTAAATGACGCATTGCATCAATAAAGAATTGATTAGGTTCATTTTAGTATATACTATAAGGGGAAGTAGTTATTAAAATGATGAGATCAATACTGATATTGAAAACTTTATACAGAACAAAGGTAAGGTACAGAATAGCATAGATAGTGTCATATTGTTTGTATATAAAAGAAGATACATGTAATATTTGGATTGATACTCAGGAAGCTGTCAAATAGGATTGGCTCTGGGGGAAGCAGAGCCAGACTCTGTCTCAAAATAAATGCAAAATAAAGGGGCTGGGGCGACCTAGCAATCAGATAAGGAGAAAGGTTTGATTTTTACTATAAATCTTGTACACGACTTACCACTTTTAAAAAACTCATAAACACTATGTGAAATCTTCAAAAAATAACAACTCTAAAAGAGAAGGGATTAATGAACTGTTTCAAGTACTGTAGACGTGCCAAAGAGAATGTGGAGTGAGATAAAGGATGTTAGACTAGATGATTATGGAGTTTTGGTAACTTTCAGAACATAGCTTGAGGTGAGTTATTGGGGTACTGAGAGAAAACTGTACTGTAAAGGGTTGAAGAGCATGCTTTAGGAAGATAGAATTTATCTTGATACAGTTGAAGTTTGATGGAATAAATTTGTGGACTGGTCAGTTTGTGTGTGTGTGCATAAATATGTGTATTTTTAACATATATGTATATATACATCTTTCTCCATTTAGGAAAAGGCGAAAATGGATTTTATCTGGGACTAGATATTAGCAAACAGGATGTAAAAGAAAGGCCTATTGTTGAGGAATTTAAAGTGCTAGTAAGAGCACGTAGAGGAGAGTACAAGGTGGCCAGGGTGGGGGAAACTCGGTGAAGACTGAGGCTGTGCTAAGTGCGGATGATATCATAATGGAAATAAATTTGAAGATATTTTCCACACTAGCAGAGGTAACTGGATAATAGGAATAATATCCACTTACAGAACTGAAATCAAGGCAATAATTTTTATCTACCATCCAAGAGGTTGATGGAAAATTATAGAAGATTGCAGCTACAAAGGATATAATTCCATTTTATTATAGTCAGCAAAGAAAAAGCAGTTTAAAGCCATTTCATATGCTTAAGTTTTACAAGAGAAATGGTAAGCTACTGTCATATAGCACCAATGTTTTTATTACAATTTTTTTCTGGAAAGGATGATTTTTATAAAAGGAGTAAATTAAGGGACTAAATGAGGAATAAATGCAAAGAAAATTATGCTTTTAAATAAAGAAATGCATGCAACCGGGGCTGGGGATTAGTTCAGTGGTTCTGCCTGCCTCTCAAGGGCAAGGACCAAAGTTTGATGCCTGGTACAAAACACACACACACACACACACACACACACATATATGTATGTATATATGTACAGACACACACACACATATATATATATGTATGTATATATATATATGTATGTATATATGCAACCAAAGCCAACCCAGGGCAGATGGCATCCTTGCACATTTGTTATTTCATGGCACCTCCTCTGGATAAGTTCATGTGGAACTCACCAGAGAGGGTTTCTGGAGTTAGGTAAGACTCAGTCTAGGGCAGTGGTGGTTAACCTATGGTGGTGAACGAATGCTGCAGCGAGCCCATAAAAATCTCTGTTGGCATGTGAGGCGAGTCACCCCAGCAGTTGATTTTTCTAAGCTAGAACCTCACTATTTGAGATTAAATTGCAAGTGCTGACACTTTGCAATAACTAAGTTTGCCATCGCTGCTCTATGGTATCCACATGGTTGTTGTTATGAAAAAACAACAACAACAACCTTTACCCCTGAAGGTGTGATAACCTTTTGATCACATATAAGTCCTTGCCAGATCATCCAGCCTGGAGACATCCTTGCACTTGATTTTTATAGGATTACACTGCAACTGAACTTGCCCTTGGAGTCACGAGTCTGGTGTTTCTTTTGGTGGCAGATCACCTCAGATCTGAAACTATTGAAGTTTCAAAGGGCTCATGTGGAGGAACCTGCCTTTTTAACTGGATCTAAGTAATGTTCCCTGAGATAGTATAGAAAGCAAAGAAACAAAGAAAAACGTTCCTACATATTTAAAGATTAGATTTTCAGTTAAAACAATTATCACTCACTAAGTAGAAACGTTTACCAATTAAGGGTTTGGAATTTCGCTTTGATCAGAGTTAGGCCAAAAAGGACAATGAATAATATATTATTTGCTAGTTAACTTGAAGCGGTTAGAATAAAAGAGCTAAATTATTTTGAAATTCTGAATTTAAAAAAGTTTCCCTCTTGGGGGGCAAGAAGAACTAATCCTTTGCTGACAGTCTTTTCTGTCCCCCAGAAAAGAAATAAGTTATAATACATTTGGATCATAAAATCAAAACAAGTTAAACATGGCTTAAAAACACTATTTGTAAAATGAAAAAGTAAAACATACATATAATAGAAATTTCATAAAAGATATAGAATGAAATGTAGTCTCATTCCGGAAAGACAATTGTTTTTAATTTGTGTGCACCAATGTAGAAAAGAAACATCTTTTTAAATAAAAATAAATAAGTAAATAAATAATTGTGTGTATATATGCCTTAAAAGTACAATTTAGAACGTAAGTTCTTATTGAACAATGTATCTTAGAGATTCTTTTCTATCAATGGACACAAATACACTTCTCTATAATGATTGCATAGTGTGAATATTTAAAATTTTGACAGATACTGGGAAATTGCCTTCTAAATATGTTTACAATCTCTTCGATAGTGTACAAGGGTGTCTGGTTCTCCACACCTTTGTGCATAGTTTTGACTGTTGGTAACCAGAGAGAAAACATTTTGTTTGAATTTTTTAAAACTATGAAAGTGATTGATAAATAAAAAATAATAGATTAGTGATGAGCATTTGGTGAAGTTATATATGACTGTGGGTCTGTTTGGAAGAGAGTCACCAAAGAATTTATTATAGGAAGAATAATTATGTCGATTAAGTTTCTTACATAATGTGTAGTATTTAAAGTATTTTTTAAAACAAGAGACAGTTTCATAGATAGGTTTCAGTTTTCTAAAAAGGGGAAGAAGTACCATCCTGTAGCTCGATGTGGGTTTGTCAGTTATTACCTCCTCATTTCCTGGGACTTCCCACTGCTTCTTTAGCACAAGTCAGACTTAAGTGAAAACATCTCTTTTTCCATAGGATCAGTTATTGAGAGAATGGTAATGCAATGACCAGCTCAGTCTCCCGGTCTTACCCGTGAAGAACTTGGGGACATTTCTGCAGAGTGCTCCCAGGATTGCTTGCTATTTGCTCAATTACTGTGTTTCTGCAGAAACGAAGGAACCGACTGGTTAGTGAAGGTAAGAAAAAGGAGGCAACGGGCCCTACAGTTCTGTTTACATTTCCTCTCATTTCTCCTCTCACGCTCTCTTAGCTCTTTATCGTCAGAACTCAGGCAGAATCTTGCAACATCTAAAATGCTTTTCTAGCTTCCTAAATCAGAGATGAGATGAAGCAAGCATTCAGTGGAGCGGGACAATAAATGTAGCCAACACTTCCTTCTCTTAATCTCCTCCTGTCCACATTTCTAAAATGCTTTTTTAATTTAAAATCTGTGACTGGTTGGATCAAATTTTTTGTTGTAAAACTTATTCAGTCCTCTTTTACTAATTGCTATTCGATTTTAGCTTGCGCATTTTAAAAACAAGGCCTAAAAATTTAAGCAGAATTTTGCAGGGACAACACAAGCCTTGAGTTCAGTTATGGCGATGAATTTTAGAGGAAAACAGTCGCTGTGCCTTCCAATTGGATTTTACTCTCAATTTTTTGGTTCAGTGAGTTTATGATGGTAGTGTTCTACATGGCAGGATATTTTCAAAGTGAATGTGATCTACAGTGACGATACCTTCAAAATTGTCATCCGAGTGATTTGGGCAAAGACTACTTTTTGGTATTAAAGACAGGATACATAGGTGTGGACTTTTGTTTGAATTGTCTCTAGTCCTGCTCCAACATTATTTTTCTTGTGCTCATCTCTTTGAGCTTGAACATATGTGAGAATATTTACATTGATGTTCTATCACATTTC